TGTCTTGCAGGCCTGACACTTTTAATATTCTCTTGAAGCATCCAGAGCATCTTTCCTCTATTTGCTTTGCTTTACCAAGAAAAGAAAAAAATCTTTTTTCTCCTTAGCTTGGGAGAGAGGAAATCATAAACTGTACTTATATACTACACAACAATATAAAATAAAACATACTGTGCCAAGAACGCCAGACCATATCTTCTGGGAATAGTCCTGTCACCTTTAGTGGAACTATTACAGAACTGGTGATTTACAAAGAGCTACTTTTCAACTACCCACTTTAAATACTTCATTGGCCAGTCAGTTGGCCTGAACCTTCCAAGTGTATTCTAAACCAAAGTAGCTACACTTTCTTTCCCAGCCACTGATAACAACAAATAGCTAATGTCAAATTGTCAGGACAATGAATTTCGCAAAGCTAACTAAGAGCATATCAAGTTTCTTGATGTGTTGACAGTTTAACCGAGTAATGATTACTGGAACATGTTAACCATATTCACAGCATGTAAAAGTGGCTAAGTTGTAGATCTTAAAAGGTAGTAGATGAAAGAAAACTAATTCTACAGAGCAAAAAGCACATCGCTCACAGTGATTAAGGGATAATGACAATCTAATTTTTTTATACAATAGACTAAAATGTACCTAATAATAATAAAACTTAAACTACAAAATCTTCCATTATAGTACAGAAAGTACATCAAGATCTATTGGTAGTATATCAGCAAGCATTTCTGATTCTGAAATATTGAACAATACCTAAACATTGGATTTTTTTTTCTCCCTCCTAAATTATGCTGTACGTGCAGTAGCTCAGATGAAGACTTGTACTTGTCTAGGGTAACCATGAAATATAGTAGGAAACTGTCTGATTCTTGAGCCACCATTTTATTTATGGCTCCAAACATACATATTTTTGTGCCTAGATCTAGTTGGGATTCTAATAAGACAACAAAATAGATTCCAGAATCATGAAGGCTGCCCACAACGAAAACACTCCATAAGACCAGGCACCAGCCCTCTCCTTCTTCCCTAGTCAATACAATTTATAGGTGTCCACCTGTTTTCAAAGCTGGAGGCAGCATATAGCTATGGAGTCCTTGGGGTTCTCTGAGCTTGGTTTCATAATGAAACATTTGCAAGAAAAGAACCAAGCTCAGAGAACCCCAAGGACTCCACAGTTCAACCCTGAGCTACACATATTCACCCCTATTGGTAGCATATAGCTATTGTACTTCATAGCTGTCATTAAGCGAGGACCGTGTGGGTCATTAAGCAAGGACCTCATGTGACTGTGAGTTCTGATTTCCTGCTGGCTTTTCCATTGGCTTTGCTTGTGGGAATCCAGCAGTGAAGGTCACAAATTGCAATCAAGTGACCACGGCTTGATGCAACCATCATCATTGTAAGCTGATTGTCAAGTGCCTGAATTGTGATCACATCACTGCAAGGGTGCTGTGATGGCTGGAAATTTCAGGACAAGTTGTAAGTACCACTTGTTCAGTGCTGTTGCAGATTTGAACGGTCACCGAATGAGTGGTTGTTAACCAAGGACCACCTGTAAACAATTCCTTGTATTCTGTCCCAGAGCCATCCAGGAGTGTGAGTGTGTAGGTCTGTGTGTGTGTGTGTGTGAGAGAGAGAGAGTGTGTGTGTGTTAAGGGGAAGTCAAATGACAAAAGCAGTGTCACACCACCGCAAGGAAAACTTGCATATGCTTTATTATATTGTGTACCACAAGAGGAGTAGAGTTTGTTCCATTTTTGATAAAAGCATTGAATCCTTAAGATCTCTCTGCTCTGTTTCAAAGAGGTTTCCTATCCGTTTTTCTTATGTCCATGTCCCATTCATCCTTTAGGGAGATTTATCTATATTCTAACGTTTTTCATATAGGACTTGTACTTCTCCTTTTGTCATTCTATTTTCACTCTTGTTTCTTTCACTTTTTCCTCCTTAACCTTGCATTTGAAACAAACCTTTTTCCTAAGTAGATAGTCATAATTCTCATTCAAGCCCAATTTCTCATTCTCAGCCATCCATTCATGTCACCATTTATTGCAGGACATTCACCTTGATTTTAATGGGACTCTGTGTGTGTGTGTGTCTGTGTGCATGTGTGTATGTGTTTTGTTTTTAACCAATTTGGAACTTGCTTGCAGTAGCAAGAATTCCAGTAGCTTAGAAATTCAGACATGTTTTTATACATGGTTCCTAAAAAGTGGGAAGCTAAGATTTGAAAACTATCAGAAATGGAATTTAAATTTTAGTTTAAAAAACGAGTTGAGAGAAAGGATGCAGAAAATGTTCTTACCATATGCTTCCCATCTAAAAAAAAAAAAAAGATTTTATATAATCATTGATAAAATCTAAAGTTCCTCCCAATATTTTAAAGAGAACAGAGGCGGGGGGGGGGGTAATCTAAATTTTCTCTAACACTTCTCCTAATTTTGCAAATCTTGGATTGTATACAGATGCACACACATGCGCGCGCACACACGTAGTCCACTGTAATTTCTAAATGTATGCATTAAGATTTGTACAACTCTCTTAACTGTGGGAAATGACACTGAGTTAGCATTTGTCTTCTTTTGCTTACCTTGCATCAGAGAATAGAACATTACTTATTTTAAGCATCTGTCTCATTTCTATCTAGCCGTCTTTCCTGTGGAAATTTTTATATTGGGATTTGGGTGGGGCAAGTTAAATGTGGAGGAGAAGGAAAGAACATACATGCATTCAGATATGAACCTGTGATTATGCACACCCTTAGTTAAATTACAAGGTAAGTGCAAAATTGGTAGATACCTGAATACTGCATGCACACATACATCTCACTTATATAAGAGGGTGATAAGAAAACTTCTTCAAAGGCAGACATAGCCAATTAATGATCCAAAAAGGTCCATCCATGGATTCACTTCTTAAGGCTTCATAAAGCCTATATTTTATTATTGCTCTGAGTTTTATATGTTATGCTCTAACAGCTCCTCAGCCTATGTTCTTCTTAGCTGTGAAGCTTTAATTAGATGGTGACCCTGGCTTTATTATGGATTCACTACATCCAGGACGGGGTCATATTTTCTAGTCATTATTTCTTAAAGAGGTGCTATTGGTTTCACCCCCAGTATGGAATCATTTTTCTTGTTTTTGGTTTTGTTTTCTTTTTAACTAATTTGGAACTTGCTTTCAGGAGCAAGAATCCCAGTAACACAGAAACAGAGAGATATGTTTCTATACTCGGTTCTTAAAAAGTGGGAAGCTAAGATTTGAAAAGTATCAGAAATGTCTACATTTAAGAAAGAGTTGAGAGATGGAATGCAGAAAATGTTCTTACCGTATGGCTTCCATTATTGTTTTTTAAATAGATTTTATATAATCATTGATCATATCTGAAGTTTCTCCCAATATTGTGAAGAGACCAGAGGTGGGTGGACAATCTAAATTTTCTCTAACACTTCTCCTAATGTTGCAGATCTAGGACTGTGAAGGTAGGACTGGATGAATCAGCCTGGATAGCCAAGTTTTTCTTGGTCAGCTCTGTAAAGGTACATCTCCCTGTCCCTGAAAGGATTGTGATAACCTGAATTCTTGTGATATTATGCCAAGGAGAGGAAGGCCAGCTTGCCTATTGATTTTGTACTAGCATATAGGAAAAGGGAGCAGCCAGATACTTGGCAAGAATTGTATGATTCCTCTGGAACCCTAATGAGAAACAGGAAACAAATGGGATGCAAATACCCCAATCCCCACAACTTATACTCAGCTTGCACATAACGGTAATTAAATACAATATCACAGAAATACCATCAGTTTCCTATGACCGCTTGCAAGAAACTGAAACTGAATTTTAGATAAGCCCTGTTCCCTCTCAATCGTTTCAGCCCTCATTAGATTTATATTCCACACTATACAGGAGCTCAAGGAGGCATAGACTTTCGCCTCCATTTCCTCCCCCCCACCCCACAACAGCAACATGGTAAGGTAGCTTGGGCAGAAAGAGAGTATCACTCAGGATCTTCCATAGCTGAGGGAGACTAGAACCTGGGTTTCCTTATTTTTAGTCCAACACCTTCAACCTACCTCATGCAGACTCTTGGACTGAGAATGTAGGACTGGCCCAAAATTTCCCAGGGAACCTCTATGGCTTAACCACTTAAGCACTACCTTAACCACTGTTCACACTGGCTCTCCCACATACAAAGTATAGTTAATTAATATACGTATACAGGTAGTTTGTTTTTTATATAAACTCTAAGCCCTTTTGTCTGTACTTTGAGACAATGGCACTGTTTTATTTGTGTCTCATCTACATTTATATAAATGAATAATAACTACTGTAGTCCAGAGAAAGATATTTGTGGAGAAAAGTTACTTCAGGTTTAAAAAGAAATAGATTTGTTTGCTAGAAGGTAGAAACTTTCCAATGAAAGTGGAAATTGTTGAAATCCTTTTCACTATATATTGAAAAGAGGACACAAATGTATACAAACAAAAGTTTAATCATTCATGCTAGCAGCAATGTCATGCTTCTGATCTCCCACCCCCAGCAGCATTTGCTGGGTTCAGTCAAATGTCTAATGCATCTTCAGTAACTAGACACAAAACATAGTAGTACCAAATAAGTTAAAGTATCAAGTTTATTAGATGCATTGTATTAATATTTATCAAGTTCATTAAAATATCAAGTTTTATCACAGCTACTTCTATACATGGTGACAAAAGCAAGTTTAAAATAAACAATGAGAAAAATTCATCAAATGTTTTCCAGGTACACTGCCACTTAAATGGCCAAATCTTTTTGTTTAGCAGGAAAAGGACAATAAATTTAATCATTCTTGTGATCCCTTTTTGAAATATAGATTATAAACCCAATCTATCTCTGAATATTTTTGAGGCAAAACTTGCCAAAAGTCATCCAGATGGATAGACCTATTTTTATCTAAACAGGGAGGGTAGACCAGTCATTAAATTGTGGTCAATACAAATGACAGAATTGGGGGGGGGGGTTGTTTTTTGTTTTTTTGTTTTTTGTTTTTTTCATTTATCCCAAAGACTGAAAGCTGAATCATTTGAGAAATGGATGGAGAGAATTCATGAAATAGCTTGGGGATCAATGACTATTAATTTAAGAGCAGGACATTTTCTAGAATGAAACAGTTTATGTTGTAATGTGAGATAATTACAATTTTCAACTAACTGACATTTCACACAGCTTGGGGACTATACTAGACAATAACCCTCAGCACCTAATACAACTCTGTTTTTAGCTGAGTCTTTTGTCAATAATCCAGTGGTGTTATATCAGTGGCAAACCCAATATCCTGCAAGCAATTACTTTCTTTGTCATAAAATTCTAAGAGCTATAGAGAAGTACAGTTCACATTAAGTTCACAGAAGACTTGTATCGATATATAAAATCTGCCATGTTGACTTTTCTTCTAATAATGAATTTCAGAGACTAAGAGAAAACATGCAAAATTTCTAGAGCCTTCTTCCATTAAGAATGGTAATTTGGTTAGGGGCTGACTGTCCTCATCCAGGGTTGATCAGCTTGCTGTAGTAGTAGTTTATTAATTGATTGGTCTTATGACCATATCAAAGAAAATAAAGTAAACGTAAGATACAGGTTCTAATTTCAAGGTAAAATAGATAAAAGAAAATGCAATAATAAAACACGTATGTAGTAAATACAAAACATTCAGATAAATGCATCAACTTTACATGGTATCCCAATCAGTCCAATATAACAGGTTCTTAGCTGAACTGCCTTGTCTATAAACTTAGCAGTTCTGCTCACAATGTATACATGAGAGCCCAGGAGGAAATAGGACAATCTGTGATTCAGGTTCCAGTGGGCTGCTCTTTCAAGTAGGGATTTTAAATATCTAGGCCTAAAAGGGGCATGGAGCTGACAGTCAAACAAAACATGAGCAATATCTTCGATGGCTGGGGCACATCCTCTCTTCATATGGCAGGTGATGGAAGCGCCTATATTTGGCCATGGAATCCAGCAACTCAGCTTGCTGTAGTAAAGGGAGATACCGAAAGAAGAAGAATTGCTAAGCCACAATGTGGTTGGTTGGTTTTTGGATAGTGTGACTTATACATAGTTTGTATAGCATGTTACACAAAATCAGTCATTTGTAGCATATCAAGGATGAAGCAAACCATGGATTAAAGCAATACGTGCACCTAGCTTTAATCAGAACAAGGCTGAAAAAAAGGTTGCACTTACATTTTCTATTCACTGATTCTTGCTTTAATTTGTCCTTAATTTACAGATCAAATTTCTGGCTATGCCAATTCTCTTTTTTTCTTTTTTATCACCTAAATACAAAAAATAAAGAAAAAGAATACACAAAATTATAAGGGAAGTGGGGGAGCTAAAAAAAGAAACAAAAACATACAGGATATATATTTACAGACATATATACATCAATAAATGGAAGCCATGATTTGTTACAGTCATTCATAGCTAATCTATATTCATCAATTCTAGAGACCACTGAATAGCTGGATCCATATGCTTGTCTTTCCAATGAAGAACCGCAAGTCTTTTGGCTATGCGGTACAGAAGATCAATTTTCCTTGTCCAGACGTCAACTCCCATGGGATAGAGATAAACTTCAAAAGAATATAGAATCTGAAAATATTAAATCTCAGAGTCAAGTTAATGCATCTGTTGACTTCTTTCCCAAATGGAACAATATCTTTAAATAAAGAAATTATTTTACTGCTTCTCCAGCAACATAAATGCAATGAGGTCATTTCTAAAATATTATTTCCTGTTGAGAAAGAGGT